CACAGAGTATAGGTCTAGTCCAGTCTCTCCTAGCCAACCAAAATATTCAGCTTGATGTCCTTACCAATCCCACCGCCACCGCCACTGCAGCAGCGGCAGCTGCAGCCGCAGCAGCAACAGCAGCAGCAGCTAATGCAACAGTATCTGAGCATAGTCAGGACACTGTGACAGCACAGTACACTGTGCCAACCAGATATTCCAACCCTGGACAGGTGATTTTCAGAGGACTGGAAATGAGTAACATCCTAAGTGGAACTCTTCCTCCTCCTCCACATCATCTGCCACAACAACCCCACCAACAACGTCAGCAACAACAGCAGCAACAAGACCACCAACAATCAAAACATCAACAGCAATTACAACCACAGCAGCAGCATCTGAAATTGCAACATCAGTCACAGCAACTGCATCAACAGTCGCTGCAGCAGCAACACATGCAACATCAGCAGCAACTGCAAACACAGCAGCATCAGCAGCAACTGCAAACACAGCAGCATCAGCAGCAACTGCAAACACAGCAGCATCAACAGCAACTGCAACAGCAGCATCAACAACTACAACAGCAGCATCAACAACAACTGCAACAGCAGCATCAACAACAACTGCAACAGCAGCATCAACAACTGCAACAGCAGCATCAACAGCAGTTGCAACAACATCAACAGGCAATGCATCAGCAGCAAATGCAACAGCAGCAACTGCAACAGCAGCAGCAACAGATTCAACAGCAAGTGCAGCAGCATCAACAACAAATTCATCAACAACAATTCCAACAGCAGCAGCACCAGTTGCAGATTCAGCATGAGCAAATGCAGCAGCAGCAGCAACAAATGCAACAACAGCAGCAACAAATTCGACAGCAAATACAGGAAATGAGGCAGCAGCAGCAACAACTTCAACAGCAGCATCAACAAATACAGCTGCAACATCAACAAATGCAAAGACAGCATCAACAAATGCAGCACCAGCTTAAAATGCAAATGTCCCTCCAACATCCACCTTCAGGGTATGCTACTCTAACCCTGCATCAATTACAGCTGATGCCTCAAATTTCTCATCCAGACCAGCCACCAGACAGAGGAGAACAAGTCCTCCCTCTTAAGATTCCCTCACGACCACAGTCTTTCATTGAAACTGACACCCTTGAGGTACAGATGCGTAAAGTAAACCCTCCACCACCTTACCCAGGTACAGTGGTATCTGCTGCAGCTGCCGCACCAACTACGGCCCCTCCTGGTCTTCTTGTTAGCAATGAGAATGGCACTACACTGTCAATTGATCCATGTTTAACTAAGGACGAATTCTCTCTTCACCCAATTAGCCTTCAATACCCAACTCCACTAGGCTATGAAAGAATCACTACTTTTGACAGTAGCGGAAATGTCGAAGAGGTATGTCGCCCAAGGAGACGCCATTTAAGGAACCAAAATGCCTACGGGATGCAAGGAATGGGCAGCTCCGCCACATTGAAAGTAACTTCATCTGAGAACAAGAAGATCCAGTTGCCGTACAGCTCAGCAACTCTTAGTCGCCTCTCAGTGCCTAGATATTCCATACCAAGCGGAGACCCACCACCTTATCCTGACACATCTAACCAAATGAACACAATCAGAAGTTCTACACAAAGGATTGACAGCAATTTGATTCATGCCACTTTGTGTCGAGATCGCAGGGAACAGACCCTGAAGGTTTCTCAAATGGTGGAAACAGTGAGGACTCTACCGACTAAATCCAAAATGAACGGTTCCCTCACGCTCTCCTATCAGCCAAGGATACCCACAGCTTTGTATACATGCACTCAGTGTAGCAGTAATAGCAGCAGCACTAGTGTAAGTGTCACTGGTGGTGGCACAAACAGCAGCGGAATTGCTGGAGGAACTGTGGTGAGGCAAGACTTCCCACCTGGCAAAGGGGCCCAACACAGCACGATAATTGTGCACTCCAAAAGTGACTCGCCATTAGCCTCCCAGTCCTCCTATAACCTCCTGAGTCCCATTGACAACAGTAGAGACAGAACTGTCTATGTCAACTCTGCCTTTACAGAAGATGAGACACTAAGTCAGCAGTGCCATCTTGAAAAATCAGTACGGCATTTAACGCTTGGGGATGTCAATTTTACAGTCAAACGGCCCCCACCTTACCAATGGGACTCACCTGCAGCAGAACAACTCTGGATACCTCAAGAGCAAAATTTATTGCCTGGACCTCCAGGACCACCTCATAAGCCACCCCCATTTTTACTTAGCCAACCACAGCATTTAGACCTGACCCGACTACCTTTTGTCCTTTCAACAAAGCCTCCCCCCAGTCCCAATTCTATGACCCTCCCTTCAGCCTATCAGTTATCCCTTTCACCCTTCCCATCAGTTGTAGGGCATGGTGGACCTCAACTACAGCCTTTGCAGAGTCCTGCACAATCATGTGGCCCCAATGACATGGTAACATCTAGCCCTTTTAGCCAACCAGACCCAGCTTTAGTCTTACCCCCAGGCTATCCCACAAATTTGACCAATCTAGGTTGTTGCACTCTGCCTCCCATGTACCCAGGGACTAGCTCCTGCAGCAACCTTCAGCTGCATCCAATGAGCTTGCATCCTTGGAGCACATATAGCACTTGTCCTCCCATGCCAGACCATTCTGCCACGCTGCCCAGTAAGACCCTTCAGACCCTGGAGAAGCCAGTTCTCTCTCCTCCTCCACCACCACCTCCCCCTCCCCCACCACCTTCGCCTCCTCCTCCTCCTCCACCCGTCGAGCTCTTGAACCATCAGAGCACCTCTGAGGTGGTTGCGGAATCTGGGGAGAGCTTTCAGGATCAGTCCTCTCTCAATGAGAGTCCACAAGGAGCAGAGAGGTTCAGCAAGAAGACACGTAAGAGGCTTGACAGCAGGGCAGAAGAGGCCAATATGTCTGGAGTTTCTGAAGGGAAATCCAAAAAAGAGAATCGCACACTCTCTGACTTCAATTCCCTGATCTCCAGCCCAAGACTTGGCAGCAGGGAAAAGAAGAAACCTAAAGGGCAGAAAGAGCCGTTGAACAAGGCCAAGAAACTGAGTAGGACCTCCAATGAGTTCCAGGACAGCTCTGAGAGTGAGCCTGAGCTCTTCATCAGTGGTGACGAGTTGATGAACCAAAGCCAGAGCAGCAAGAAAGGATGGAAGAGCAAACGCAATCTGCGTACAGCAAACGAACTTGAGGAAATCAAGTGTCGTAAAGCTAACGAGAGAGAGGATCGTAGTCTTGGCAGCCAAGGCTTTGTCTATGTCATGGCCAACAAGCAGCCATTGTGGAATGAAGCCACCCAGGTTTACCAGCTTGACTTTGGAGGACGGGTGACACAGGAGTCAGCCAAAAACTTTCAGATTGAGCTTGATGGACGCCAGGTACGTGATTTTATTTATTTGAGAAACCAGTTTGAAAACAATATTTGTGCAGTTCCATTTTGTGACACTAGGGGCAAAGAAATTACACCTTTAACAAATATGCGGCGTACATAATCAGTAGCTTTGAGCAGTGGTTCTCAATCCTGGTCCTGTGGACCCCCTGCTCTGCACATTTTGCATGTCTCCCTTATTTCACACATCTGATTCAGATCACCAGCTCATTAGGAGAGAGCTCCATGATTTGAACTGTGCGTGTCAGTTAAGGGAGACATAGAAAACCACTGGCTTTGAGTAATAAACATCTACCCTGCAACCATTACCCTGCATCTAACCCCATAATTCTCTATTACAGGTAATGCAGTTTGGCAGAATCGATGGCAATGCATATATCCTGGATTTTCAGTATCCATTCTCAGCAGTACAGGCATTTGCTGTGGCCTTGGCCAATGTAACTCAGAGACTTAAATAAAAAACCTCTCCAGCAATCTTGTCCTTGAGAACAGATGGACTGAAAAAAGAGTTTATTGTTAATTGCAGATTGTGAGAAATATTACATTCTCTGCTGCCATAACGTCTGTACAATGCCGGTTAGTAGGCGAGAGATCTGGTCACTCTCAGGCAGAGCGTACACAAGACGTAGACAGGTGGTCCGAAAATAGATGTAGTGCTTTAAAGTACCTTTTTGTTAACAAAGGTACAAGCTGATTTAAGGTTCCACCTAAAAGGTGGTTGGTATACATCTGAAAAAAGTTAATATTTGTGTATTGATGGAATATTGTTTTATTTATTAATTCACTTTCATTGATTTTTTTCCATGTATTTCATTAGCATATAATGGTGTGATTTAAATATAAAGATAATTACTAAAGGTGAATCTTAGACTGTGGGCTTTGTTTCTTTTTTTCCCCCTCTGAATACCCCACCTCCTTTTATGTTTGTACCAGAGATTTATGTGCCAAATTTGGATTTCCTATGTATAATCATTGTAAAGTGACAGATTTTGACTATTGTCTGTGGTCAGTAACCAATGAAAATCTAGAGAGGAAAAAACAAGTTATGTTTGAATGTTCTCATCCCGTGACTCACTTCCATGAAGTGAAACAGAGATAGTATATTCAAGTTATAATCATATTTTCCCAATTGTGCCATTATAATGAATGCATTTTTATGGTTTAAAAATCAATTTAACTTTAAATTTAACTTTTTTTTCACAAAATGTCTTATGTTATATTGCATCATTTGCACACTGTGTTATTGCAGTATCTCAGTAATGTCCTTTTTGAATGAATATTTGCTTTTTAATGTTAACAGTAACAGAAAAGTTTGAACAATTTTTAATTATATTGTCATGTAAGTGACATGACAGAAAAGTGCTGTAGTTAGATGTACCTGAAAATGTACTCATATCGTCCATGACACTTTAGCACGAACTATAGTATGCATTCATTTAGCCAAAAATTTCTTATATCACTATATAAATCACCACCTCCTCCTCCACCTCCTCTCCCTCCTCCTCCTCCACCCATTGAGCTCTTGAACCATCAGAGTACTTCTGAGGTGGTCGCAGAATCTGGAGAGAGCTTTCAGGATCAGTCCTCTCTCAATGAGAGTCCACAAGGAGCAGAGAGGTTCAGCAAGAAGGGACGTAAGAGGCTTGACAGTAGGGCAGAAGAGGCAAATATGTCTGGAGTCTCTGAAGGGAAATCCAAAAAAGAGAGTCGCACACTCTCTGACTTCAATTCCCTGATCTCCAGCCCAAGACTTGGCAGCAGGGAAAAGAAGAAACCTAAAGGGCAGAAAGAGCCGTTGAACAAGGCCAAGAAACTGAGTAGGACCTCCAATGAGTTCCAGGACAGCTCTGAGAGTGAGCCTGAGCTCTTCATCAGTGGTGACGAGTTGATGAACCAAAGCCAGAGCAGCAAGAAAGGATGGAAGAGCAAACGCAATCTTCGTACAGCAAACGAACTTGAGGAAATCAAGTGCCGTAAAGCTAACGAGAGAGAGGATCGTAGTCTTGGCAGCCAAGGCTTTGTCTATGTCATGGCCAACAAGCAGCCATTGTGGAACGAAGCCACCCAGGTTTACCAGCTTGACTTTGGAGGACGGGTGACACAGGAGTCAGCCAAAAACTTTCAGATTGAGCTTGATGGACGCCAGGTACGTGATTTTATTTATTTGAGAAACCAGTTTGAAAACAATATTTGTGCAGTTCCATTTTGTGACACTAGGGGCAAAGAAATTACACCTTTAACAAATATGCGGCGTACATAATCAGTAGCTTTGAGCAGTGGTTCTCAATCCTGGTCCTGTGGACCCCCTGCTCTGCACATTTTGCATGTCTCCCTTATTTAACACATCTGATTCAGATCATCAGCTTGTTAGGAGAGAGCTCTATGAACTGAACTGTTTTGTGTCAAATTAGGGAGACATACAAAATTAAGAATCACTGGCTTTGAGTAATAAACATCTACCCTGCATCTAACCCATAATTCTCTATTACAGGTAATGCAGTTTGGCAGAATCGATGGCAATGCATATATCCTGGATTTTCAGTATCCATTCTCAGCAGTACAGGCATTTGCTGTGGCCTTGGCCAATGTAACTCAGAGACTTAAATAGAAAACCTCTCCAGCAATCTTGTCCTCGAGTACAGATGGACTGAAAAAGAGTTTATTGTTAATTGCAGATTGTGAGAAAAATTACATTCTCTGCTGCCATGACGTCTGTGCAATGTCGGTTAGTAGCTGAGAGATCTGGTCACTCTCAGGCAACGCGTACACAAGACGTAGACAGGTGGTCCAACAATAGATTTAGTGTTAACAGTACCTTTTAGTACCTTTTTGTTAACAGAGGTTCAAGCCGATTTAAGGTTCCACCTGAAAGGTGGTACACATCTGAAGAAGAGTTAATATTTGTGTATTGATGGAAAATTATTTTATTTAATTCACTTTTATTGATTTTTTCCATGTATTTCATTAGTATATAATGGTGTGATTTAAATATATAGATAATTACTAAAATCTGTGATGGATGTTAGACTGTGGGCTTTGTTTCCTTTTTCCCTTGATTTCCCCATCTCCTTTTGTGTTTGTACCTGAGATTTATGTGCCAAATTTAGATTTCCTATGTAAAAACATTGTAAAGTGACAGATTTTGACAATTGTTTGTGGTCAGCAACCAATGAAAATCTAGGGAGGAAAAAACTAATGTTTGAATGTTCTCATCCCACGACTCACTTCCATGAAGTGAAACAGAGGTAATATATTCAAGTTATTATCATATTTTCCCAATTGTGCCACTATAATGAATGCATTTTTAAGGTTTGAAAATCAATTTAAACTTTAAATTGAACTTTTTCTTCACAAAATGTCTTATGTTATATTGCATCATTTGCACACTGTTATTGCAGTATCTCAGTAATGTCCTTTTTGAATGAATATTTGCTTTTTAATGTTAACAGTAACAGAAATCAAAGTTTGAACATTTTTAATTACTTTCAAATATATATTATATTGTCATTGTCATGGAAGTGACATGACAGAAAAGTGCTGTAGTTAGATGTATTCATATTGTCCATGACACTTTAGCACGAACTATATAGTATGCATTCATTTAGCCAAAAATGTCTAATACCACTATATGAATCAAACTTAACACACTGTATATTATGCAATGAATGGAATCTAAATGAAATCGAAAGTTGATATGTAGGAGTTTTTCTCATTCCTAAGTTTAAATAGTCAACCCAATTTTGATTTATGTAAAGGGACATCTTTTATTATATTTAATAATTGGTTTCAAATATTTATGTATTAATATTCTGCATTAATATTTAACAGTTCTTATGGCAAATCAGCTAATTGATTTGCTTGTTGTTGCTCAGTTTCTGATGTTTTCCAGTAATTTCATCAGTTTTTATCACATTTTTGCTGTAAGCCATACAGTGGTTCAGAGTGGGGTAGTGTTGATATGGTTGATGTTTTAAGCACTTCTTGATTATTCTTGATGTCGTATGCTTTGATGATTTGCAGTTGCAGTTATTTCTAGCCACTTTATACTGGGATATTCAGGTCCAGATTAAAATATGTGGAATGTGAGGCTTTAACTGTGCTTTATTGCTTAATTATTCTAATGTACATTTACAAAATGTAATTCAAGGGTGTCAAGGAAAAGCATTAGAATGTGTGTGCAGAGTAGGCTTAAAGTCACTAAATAAAATCAAACTAGATTGATGACATTTGTGTCGATTATTGTCATTATGAAGGTATTCACATTGATGGATTGTTTTTGGACATATTAGTATTTAATTCACACCTGCCTCAGCTTTGATTAGCTACCAACCAATTCAAAGATTACTGGGTGTTTGTTATTTTTTTATGTGTTTTTTTTCTCCTTTAGTGTCTTGGGATCTCCACCTATAAAAGCAAAGTCAACACAACCACTGAGAAAATCACAGATTTGAAAAGCAATGCAACTATTTGGTTACTACACTGACCTCGAGATGGCGCACGTATGTTAGCATTGTGCTTCCGTAGTCTATGTCGGAATCTTGAGTTTGATTCATGTTAGCGAATCGGTTCGTTCACACAGTACGTATCAATGAGCCTGTTAATCAAACCGACTCACAATCTTTTTTTTCTGGATTTAATTTGTAATTCAATT